TTTTTTCATATTTATTTTTATTAAATTAGTTTTTATTTTTTTTAAATTCTAAATTTTTTTCTAAACAACAAATCAAACATGGTTCTAAAAACTTAATTTTCGTTTTCCATTTAACGTAATTCTTTTGTAAATTTTGTTGATTTATCAAAGGGATTTCAGCAGGGGCAATATCGTCCATCAATTTATATTTTGATTATGTCAGCTAAGCGTTCTTAACGTTTAGTTAATGGTAGGGTTAAATTGTTATGCGAATATAAATTTCAGGCGCGGGATATAATTTTTGAAATCTCAGGTGGGAATTTATAATTTAGCTAAACCTTAAAGGAGATGTATGTAATTTGCCCTAGATTTTCCTCAAGTTTAATTTTAAATTTGAGAGAGCTTTCTTTTTTATTTTATAATCGAGTGTCCAAACTAATTTACGTGCACCTAAATTAATTCTAGAATTTTGAAATTAATGACCAAACAAATTTCCAGTAACCATGTTTGACTTTCTTGGTATTCAACCTTACGATCTTTTATGTGATAAGCCTAGTTACAACTTCTTCTATTTAGCCAAATCCCTTGGGGTTAATTTGAGAGGGCTTGAGAAGCTCGTGGGGCCTGTCACATATTCCGTTTTGATGATCAAAATTGTTTATTTTATAGGTCTCTTTGTGTATATTATTTATAAAAAAATTAAGTTGATCTAATAATCATAACATTTTTCAGTTTATTGTATTTGTTTCCAACAAAATAAATGATTTATTTTGAAAAACGTATTTGTCGTCAATTTTTCATAGACATATGCAATAAAATAAAAATGTTGCGATTATCGAATCGACTTAATTCTTTTTTATTTTTATAAATGATATTGTACGGGAAAGAAATATACCTTCTCGTATAATCCTGTTGACTAAGTCTGTGCTCCTCCGTACGACGTCGCTTTGTCACCTGAAAACACAAACGTGAGCTAGCCGGCGGGTGTGTGCCGGAAACCCCTCCGATGCCTAAGTCAGCAAACTTGACAAATAGACAAAGCTCTGTGTATTCACAAAGCAGAGTTGTGTGTTACCTCCTCCAAGGTGATGTTTGTGAGCTTTTATAGGTTTCGAGTGGCACAATCCTACTAGGACTACTACTCCTCCATGTAGAGTCCTCCTAGGATTCATACTCCTAAAAGATAATGCTTATCCTTCCACACCCCCCTCACTGCTTAAACCAAGTGAGATGGTTTTTACCATGGCCGAACTACCATATGACCGAAATAAAACTGGCTACGCTGAGCCACAGAGTATGCCGAACTATACCTAGTTCCGTGTTTCCTTTTACTCCTCCTTATCTCGGTTTTATCCTGTTCAACCCATGGTGTGTTTAGACCGAGCTACCGAGTAGCAAGGTTTTGACCGTTCTAACCACAATACATCATGACCGGACTAACGCTGAGACCAGCCTAACTCCAAGTTGCTTCTGGACCGGAGTAACTTTACAATTCTTGTGCCGGAGTAACTTTATCTCTCTCGTGGGCCGGAGTAACTTTATCTCTCTTGGGCCGGAGTAACTTTTCGGCCTTTTTACCTAGTCCTTCATACTTTGGGCCATAAAGTCCATCTCATAGCTTGGCCCAATTTTCACCAAAAATTACCCTCTCAGATATATACAAACAACAATACAAAATAAATAGTTCACATCATGAAATAGAACTTGTAATGAGGCTCATGAGCCCTTCAAATTATTATAATTTTATGTTTAAATTTAAAATAAGGCTAATTTATAAAATAATAGTACCCGTTGAGGAGTTGAGAAGCAAAGCAAAACAAAAACAAATCTGAAAACATAAATCAAAACCCAATCTAGAGGGAACATACTATACATACATGCACTCCCACAACTCGAAAAATAAAATAGCAGCCACCACATTGCTTCAACAATTTACAACTTTGAAAAATTCTTTGAAGACTATAGGCAAGATTTCTAGTAGATGTTCTCTCCCTCTTGCAATCTAGCTTTGAATACTTAATCATTTCTTTGACCAAAAACTTAATTAAGCCTTTAAAATCACGTTTATGCCTCATAAAAAGTAAAAAATTATCTAAGGATTAATTCCAAGCAAAGCTCTAGAGTAGAGATACCCTTCTAATAAAAAAATATGGGGCATTTACATATAACTCCCATTTTGTGAACTTCTAATCCATTAAGTCCAAAATAAAATTATTTGCTCCTTCAAGTCCCATTAATTTTTAATAGCCCAATTTATCCTTCCAAGACCTTCTCATAGCTACCAAACATCATTACTGTCTTCATTCTCTCTCTCTTCACAGTTGCAATTTGAAGTTCTACACAACTTTAGTTCGACGAATCCATGCACAAGAATCACAGTAGCCAAGCTCATGGACAACATGGTTCAAGAAAGGATTCAAAACAAATTGAAGTCCCATTGCCCATTTAAGACGAACACGACAACACACCTCGTAGCCTTCTAGACTTCAACGAAGCATTTGAATTCGATTCAGAAATCATAGAGAAGAAGATAGGAGAGGTGATAACAAGTTCCATGATCATGAAGCCAACTTGCATGAATGCCTTTGATATCATCTCTCTCTCGCATGCATTTGATCTCTCGGGCTTGTTTGAGAATGACAACGATCGGAATCCAAATCTGGATCCATTTCGGATCGCCCGTGAAACCTACTCAAGTTCCATCCAATTGAACCAAGAACAGGTCAAGAAGAACGCAGATCACACCAGGGCTTCGAATCGAACCCCAAATTGCAACCTTCCAAGTCAAAAAGTTTACCAGATCTGAAATTGTAACCCTATGTACTCGACTACATTGTTCTTTTGAATTTTAATTTGAAATTGAGAACATTCTCAATTTTAATCATGAAAAAAATTGAAAAATTTCTCAAAATTGATAATTATAAATTTCTTAGTTTTGTAATATTCTTAGTTCATACTAGAAAAAATTGAGAAATTTCTTAGTTTTTATAATTATAAATTGAGAACATTCTCAGTTTTAAAATTGAGAACATTCTCACTTTTAAGATTAAAGGACAAAACGTTTTTTTACCTATAAATGTGACTTAATGGTTCAAAATTTTCTTGACAGGACCTAAGCTACTACCAAATATGTAGATAGGACTTTTCGATAATTAATCCAAAAAATATATATAGAAAAATTATAAATTAAAAATTATTACAAATTTATAAAGTTCTGAATGAATAGGAGTGAAAATTGTATGTCATGCAAAATACAGAACCACTTATTACGTCTCAACAAAGTAATAATTAATTAGTTGGACTGGGGGGTTGTATCAAACTTGACGCAAAATGTATTTTGCCACCTGGAAAGTTGGATAAAAAAACCTTCGGTATCATTTGGTAGAATTTTCTAAATATGAATTGAGATTAGGAGCTGTATTTTAAGTTTGTAAATTTTAAAATTATGATTTGAACGTGAAAAATTTATTTAGTAAATGAGTTTTAAAAACAGTTTTAAAAAGAGTGAGGAATTTTTGATGTGACATATAATATTTGATATAAAAACTTACAACTCATAACCAAACATACCAAACATACAATTCAAAATTCTATTCAAAATTCATAAAAAAAAATTCAAAATTTCAAAATTTTTTATTTAAAATATAAAAAATAACATGTGACAATTGTAAAAAAAAATAAATAAATAAAATAAAAATAAAATTGCATTGTTCCAGTCATCCAGCCGGTCACACTACAGGAAAAAAGAGTTTAGATGGCGTTTTTTTAACGACACATTTTTAAACGTCACTATTTTTTATATTTAACGACGTTTTACAAAACGTCGCATATTTATTTAATAAAACGACACCGTTTTATAATAAGGGGCGTTTAAAGGCGCCTCCAAATGCGTTGTGCCTCACGTGCTGGGTCTCCCCTTCTTATCCAACCCTAATTTTGAATCTGAGATTCGCGTAAGACCCAAATCGAGAGCTCTCTCTCTCTCTCTCTCTCTCTCTCTGTGAGAGCGATTTCGAAGCTCCACCACTTGTTCATTCTCAAATCGAGGTTGCAAGCACCAACGAAGGTGAGCTTCACTGTCTCTCTTTCTCTCTCTAAATATCTATCTCTCTCTCTCTCTCTACATCCTCTCTAAACCCTTATCAGAGCGATTGAGAGATTCATTTCCATGATTTCATCTCAGAGATTCAGAGCGATTTCATGTCGGTGATTTCATCTCAGTGAGAAAATGGATCATGAAAATTGATTTATCATTATTCGTTAACGGTAGATCTATCGAACATATGATATGTTAAGCTTCAATCAGGTATATCTATCATTTTTCACACACACACACACACACACACAGATCATGAAGTCTATGGGTTTGATTCTTCATCTTCTTCATATATATTTTTTTTTGGCCGATTTGAGATCTGAAGCTTCGTTCACAACAGATCTATCATTTCCTTCAATTTTTTTTGGTAGATGTGGTGCATCTCTCACTCTCTCTGCCTCATAAGTATGTGTATCTATAGATCTACGAAGAAAACAGTAATTTGTTCTCGTTTTTGTTTGAATTATCAATTTTATTTGAAAGGCAAGGTTGGTTTTCTATTTTTGGTTGTTTTGTTTCTAGATCTGAACACGACTTCATTACTTTTCTGAGGTTTGTTTTTGTGTTCTTACTCTTGTTTTTTTACACCGATTACTGATTTGAATTTAGACTCAACAAAGTTCTACTTCTCTCGAATATCACTACTTGATTTTTTTACTAATTTTAATTGTTTCAAATTGATCTCATCGTTTCATCGTCTTTTCTGATTCAGATGGCTTCGACGACGCTCTCTCTTGCCTCTGCATCTGCCTCAACTTCAGCAAGCTAATCGCAAGCTATCATTAACATCAATCCACTGGTTAATTTTACAATTTTTTCAATTTTGTGTGATTTTCTTTTCATTTTCCCTATGTTGGATGTTGACCTCTTGTTTGTTTGTGAAGTTCTTTTCAATTTTGTGTGAATGAATTTAATTTGGTATTAGCTTTACTTCAGTGGAGTCCTTCTGTTCTATTGGATCACAACTGATACTTCTATTTTGGACAAATCATTACAGTTGGGTAAAGGGGGTTCAATTGCAGTTACAGCAATCTTAATTGATTGTCAGAAGCTGGTGATAGCTAATGTTGGAGATTCAAGGGCTGTCACCTGCAAGAATGGTGTGGCCAAACAATTGTCAGTTGATCATGAGCCTAGCAAGGAAAGGACATATATCAAGGACAGAGGTGGTTTTGTATCAAATTTTCCAGGTAACTAGACTTCTGAAAGAAAATTGAAAAGTGATGGACTGTCATAAAAAAGTAATAATAATAATAAGTGTCAACTTATTCTAGTTGATTTGTTTTTTTTATTCTTTTGTATTTACTTTTTAAGCTTATCTTTTTGTCTGATTAGCGTGTTGGTGTTTTCCATGGTTTTGAAGGGAAACTTTTTTTTAAAGTACTTTTCGTTTATATGATGTCCAAGGGGGAAAAGGCAGACTATGTTGGCTTTGAATGATCAAAATGTAAATTATTCTTGGTACTTATCAAAGGATTATTGTAAATGGTACTTTGAGTAAAGTAACCACTTCTACATGTTCCTTTGCTTTGGTAATAAGCTTTTTGCATAATGATAGCTAACCTTGACGTCAAGATTAGATCATCTTACGATTACATCATTGTGTTCAATTCAGGTGATGTTCCACGAGTTGGACAGTTGGTCGTAGCAAGAGCATTTGGTGACAAAAGCTTGAAGAAACACCTCAGTTCAGAACCAGATGTGTCTTTGGAGATTGTAGATGAAGATACAGAGTTTGTCATCTTAGCAAGTGATGGCAAGTGATGTCATATTTGATCATTGGCTAAATTTAGCTATTTTTGCTGATTTAGTTGTCATACATCACAAACCTATATAGTTCTGGTGTTGCATTAACTAGGACCATAGGGCAGAGGCACTTGGCTTATTCTTTGATTTCCCTCTCCCAAACAAACTTATTCTACGAAACACCTTCAGATTGCACTATGGGTGAAGTGGTCCTTCAAGGTTGATTATTCAGTCCATGATCTTGTCTCAAACCTATACCAGATTAGGCTGCTCGCTTGAAGTCTCCTCAGCAACCGGCTCAGGCAGTACAGAGGTCTGCCTTAGTGCAGTTGTGCAGGCTGTTTCGTTTTGTGCTGGGCTCAGGCAGTTTAGAGGAGTCCCACGTGTGTGTGTGTGTGTGTGTACATATATCATCTGGAATTCGTATACTTATTATTATTATTATTATTGTGTGTGTGTGTGTGTGTACATATATAATGCTGATATTGTTTAAATTTTATGTTAAATCAAATTCTTTTTGTGCCTCAATGATGGGACTCCAGAAGTGAGGGATGCAGCCTTTGGCAGCAGTGGCTAAGGTATTCCTTTCAATGATATTGCTACTCAACTATATCATGTCTTCCTAGTAAAACTTGATTCTTATTTTTTTCCCCAAACTTGTGAAAGAAATAGGCCAAGATTTGCTAGTTACTTCTGTTGCACTAATTATTGTTTCTTCATTTTTCTTTCTATTCTAGTTGGTTGGCATGAGGCCTTTAGAAAAATCGTTGGAGAAACTGGATGACGTTAGAAAAAAGAAGCTTTCAGAAATGATTGAGGGTTCTGGAGCTGGTTCAGTTGGTTCAATCTCAGGTTTGAATTATTTTATTGTTTTAAATTTGTTACAATTTTTCTCCTGAAAAAATGATACATTCTTTGAGGTTTTCTCTATGCTAATAATAATCATGATATGCCAATTACAGTTCACACTTCTAGTGGAAGCATTTCTTCTGCAGCAGTGAGTTTATTCTTGCCTTTTAAAATTGGTATATTATAGCTGGATTGTAAGTAGGATCTTGTAGGATTACAGTTAGGATCTTTGCGTTGGTGATTTTTCACCTCATCTTTATTATGCATCATCCTTGTTGGTATTTTTACCTTTTTTCATTGTTATAAAAGTATAATCTTATGATTCTTGATCCGATATGATTCAATCTACTAGACTCTCTCCCCACTCTCATATCCTGATTTATTAACCATGATGCCAGAGTTGCCTTGAACTGAACTATTATCCATGGTCAAGGTAGATTCCTTCGGTTTTCATAATAAAATTTGTCTCTTTTTTGGGAAAAGAAATATAATGTGCTATTAGTGCTATATATGAGAGAAGACAAAATCAAAGCTTAATGCAAATTTTATGTCTCATGGTGTTGCAAGCCTTAGGCTCAATATTCAGTTGCTAGACCCTTTAAGTTTGTGCTTCGTGTCATTTCCTTGATCTTTGCCTTGGTTTTTGATTCATCTCATGGATTATAAATCTTCATCATGTAGTATTATCAATTCTATTTTCATGATGGTAAAATGAAGCATGGCATAGTAATCAATTTAATATTTGAATAAATGCATGTGAAATTTAAATCTTATGAATTTAGGCCTCCAAGGAGTCATTTCGACATGTTTATCTAGCTTCAATATGATGTACACGTTAATCTTTTTGCAGGCTTCTGAAGGATCATTTGTCAAAAAATCGGCAGAAAGCATGCCTAGTGGGAAGAAACCTGTTCAGGCTGTTGTGAGTATTTTCTTATAATTTTTTTCTTAGCATGTCCTGTTTTATGCATATTGTGTTAGATAACATTTTTTTGCATCTTTGTGTTCTATTGTTGGGTTTATATGTTTTCTCAGCTTGCTAGTAAGAAAGGAGGGGCTGTAAAATCGGGTGTCAATAAGAAAGGAGATGTTGTTGGACAGTTAAAAACATCCAAACCAGCTGAACCTGAAGAAGTTGAGGTAAATCATTGATAATTTTATTTTAGCTATTTGATAGCTTGTACTATCTCTTGTGATGATGACTGTGTACGACGTTTTAATTGTGCCACTTTTTAACAAGCTCATAGATTCCTCCTAGAGTGTGCAACTCATCAATGAATAGAATAATGGCCCTTTTGCTTTGCTTAACTTCATCAACCACATTTAGTAACCTTTTCTTCAATATTGGGATAGTTAGGTTGTTCAGTTGGTGGCTTATGTGAGTGGTACACCTTGCAAGAGATATCATTATAAATGAAACTATCATCATTAACAATTAGGGTCTATTCCTATGTAATGCAATGCTGTTGTTAGTGTGAATTCTGGCTTAATTTTTAAGTTAAAAAGATTTTTTTTTCCCATTCCTTTTATTTTCTAATGGGGCACTTGTGTCTTCTCATAACCCTTGTCATATTTTTGCAAGAGTCTTATATTATAATGTGGAGGTTATAGTCTAAATGAGCTTTCATTCTTATGTTCTAGGTTTTATTGACTTGGAAACTTCACATCATCCTAGTATAAATATGATCTATTATCTTTACAAAAGTTGCTTTAATTGGTTTGTATTTTATGTAACAGGTGCTATAAAAGAATCGGAGGAGCTTGTGACACAATCTGACTAATTCTTTACCTTTGGATACATGGATCAGAGTACTTAACTTGCCTTGATATATGGTTTTTATTGTACCCTTCATTGTTGCCTACTGTTTGCTTATAGTATTATTAGTTTTCTGAAAGATCTTAGGGCCTCATCTTAAAAGTTGCATGGCATTTTCTTATAGGAGCACCCTAAAACATTTATTTATCTACATAGCCAATTCATGCTGGTTAATGGGTTGCGTGCAAACTTGCTTGGTGGACTGGGTAGTGATAGACACAACATTTTCATTTTGATAGAAATTTGGGTGATATTCAAGAATTTATATCAAAATAATCATTAGAATGGTTTGCAATAGCGAAGCAACATTCTATGGTTCCGCATGAGTGGTTGCAGAACACTTGCACTAGGATTTGGTGTGTTTGGCATGTCTTTCTTTATTTTTTGTTTGGCCTTTGGCATGTTTGTAGACACTTCAATGTAAATTCTAGGAGTGTAGTTAATGCTGCTGCTGTGTTGTTGTTATGATTAGTTTTATCTGTGAGGGAATCTGTCTTTACAGAGCTCATAGTTTCCTATTGTTGGAGGAGAGGGAACATTTCTAGTTAGTATATATGCTGGAAAAATAACATTTCCTTTCTAATTAATTATGCTCAGATGAAATTAGTTCTAAACATGCTGGACCTTTCCTTCTTTGACCATACTGGATTGACAAATTTGCAGGAATGGTGATTGACACTTTGTTATTCCTTTTCATGCATGTGGGGGACTCCAAAACTTATGCAGAAAATGCCTACCATATAGGTAAATCTATGGATTTGGTTTTAACTTGGATGATTTTCATGATTCCCCCCCCCCCCTTAATGATAAAGGACCATATAATAGCTGTGGAAGGATGGCAAGAAGCAGGCAGATGCGTCCTACTGGACCGAAAGCTGGTGGTTCTCCATAAAAACAATATCGGTTACTGTGTAATACATTGGCATGAAATTTTGTTTGTTCTTCTTGAATGGCTATGAGATGTATTGGTAAGTTGTATAGGGAAGAGGATTAAATCAAATAAAACTAAGCTGTGTGTCACAACCAGAATTTACTTGCACCATATTTTATGTATGTTCTCTTGAAATAAATACATTTGATTTTTTTTTTTTTTTTGGTATTTGTGTTTGCAATTTGAAGGCCTATTTTCCTTTTGTTATTGTACTTGTCAAAGTGTTTTTGAGGACTTATGCATCATTAAGTATGGGTATATCAATAATTAGAGTTCATTTTATATATAAAAAAAAAGAACGGTTTATTTTTAAAATCACAGAATCAGCACAATTTAAAAAATAAAAAAAAATGAAGCTATAACGGCGTTTTTCAAACGCCACTATAGTATAGTGTTAACGGCTATATTTTTTAAATTGAAAAAAGATATCACAACATTTTTAAAACGTCGCTAAGTACTGGTGTGACATCATTTAACACAGTTAGCGGCGTTTTTGAAAATGCCACCTATACTATTATAATGACGTTTTCCAAGTGCCATAAAGATACAGCGACGGCTGCATCTTCGACGTTTGGTATTAAGCGTCGCAAAAAGAATTGGCGGCATTTTTGATAGCTATAGCGGCGTTTAAATTTAAACGCCTCTAAAAGCCTCATTTCCAGCAGTGTCAACTGGCTGGATGTCCGAGAGGACGACCAGCCGGACGTCCGGAAGGACTACTGATTAGCCCAAATTTTCTTGCCTTGGACAAAGTTTTCAAACATGAGTATGAAATTAATTTTTGAAAACTGTAAACAAACGTCAAACACAAATAAAAAGATAGAAATATATTTAGAGAATACAACCAAACACAGCTTTCCTTTTTACTTGTAGACTAGGCCAACCTGGGATTAAAAGTCTTTCCCCTGAGACAAAAAAGACAATTATCTTGGATTATTTTAGAGAGATAATTAAAAGTTAGTTTTTAATTTTTAATTTAATTTAGGTTATATTATTTTTTATAGGACAAATTATCTACATTTCGCTTGAAGTTTAACGACATTATAGATTCTTTTTTGAGATTTCAAAAATTACATCTCATTCTATCACAATTAATGTCGTTAACAGATATAATAAATTGACTAAATACCCTTTTGACAAATAAGGAAAAATTACCTACACCCCCTTGAGGTTTAGCTAAATTACAATTCTCTCTTGACGTTTAGCTAAATTATCATTTTTAAATAAGTTATGAAATGCAAAACTAAAATGGAAAAATACTTATCACAATACAAAAAATTAAGGTTTTAGAGACCAAAATTTAGAGACAAAATTATTTTTAGAGGATCAAATATTTTTGTTGTGAAAAGTGTCGTCATTATATTCTTAGCAATGAAGAATTGAACATTAGTGATTAATTATTATCTTTTTGGTATCAAATTTTTTTGTCTCAAAAAATAAACTATTTTGTGACCAAATTATTTTATTCTTAAAAGTTTATTTATTATTGACATTTTCAAAATTTTAAGCTTTATTTTTAACTTTTCAGGGCGACCTTTTAGCGACTATTCTCACAACGATATAAATTAGTCCCTAAATGTCTTTTGCAACAAAATTTTCACTTTTAGATATCAAAAAAATTGGTCTCTAAAACTCTTATATGCTATAGTGTTAGATGGTGAAAATATCATAAAATTAACAAATAATTAAATAAGATAAAAATACAAGAAATGACTTGTTAAAAAATTCTTAGAATATGTTTGGTTTGATTTTTAGAAATTTATTTTTAATTTTTTTAAAAAAAATTAAAAATCAATTTTTTTAAGAAATAAAAAATAATAATTATTTTTATTTTTATATAATTTTATCTTTTGAGTGGTTAAAAATAATTTTTACAAATCAAATATATTTTTTCATATTTATTTTTATTAAATTAGTTTTTTTTTTTAATTCTGAAATTTTTTTCTAAACAACAAATCAAACATAGTTCCAAAAAATTAATTTTTTTTCATCTAACGTAATTCTTTTGTAAATTTTATTAAGTTATCAAAGGGATTGCAGCAGGAGTAATATAGTCTATTAGTTTATATTTTGGTGATATCAGCTAACTATTCTTAACGTTTACTTAACGATAAAGGTTAAATTGTTATGCGAATATGTTGGCTTTTTTGGCTTTTGAAAGTTAATAATATAAATTTAAGCGTGCCAATAAGGATCAATCAGTCCTTACAGAATATTAATTGCCAACCAATTATCAAAAGATTGTGTTGTAGTTCCACCTCAATGAAGAAGACTTTCACTGGTGGCTTGTTTAGGAGAAATTAGTAAATAATAATAAGTGAAGAACATTTTCAAAATCTGAATTTCATTAAGTAAATAAAAACTTATAATAATCCGATTCAGCCTCGTAGAGGTTCACAACAACAAATTATTTGAAACTACTCTTAGGAAATGAAGTACAGTACAGGAATTGAAGTGCAGAAATGTAAAGAACTGTAAAACTGGAAGGAAAATGAAGTAAATAAACTGGTTTTTTAATCTGAGACCGAGGGGCTTATTTTGGGGCCTTCCTTGCTATTTATACTTCTCAATGGTAACCGTCGAAGTGGGCTTCTAATTGTTAAAATGTCCTCCCACGATTGCTAAACATGCTCTCTCAATGTCAGTCCCACTACGCCACTCTTACAGTTAGGTTTCCCTCCTGATTTTGAATTTAAACTTATGAGTAACTGTTAGGCCACATCATCTTGTATCTCTCGACTATTCCAGTGCTACGCAGATCCATTAATACCAATACGAACTGCCACGTGTCAGACTTTGATTAGCAACTTGCATTAATTCCCTAAATTGTCTTTTAGGTGCTACCTGTCACTTTGTGATTGGCTTTTACAAATTATACAGCCAACATTACCCCCTGCACTAATATACCCAATACTTGGTGCTATTAGTGGACTAGTGCATTCTACCCACGTTCTAGGACGTGCATGGACTCTGTACATTCTGGAAGTATAATTGCTTTTTGAATAATGAAGCAGTGAACTTTATTAAATCCTGGTGCTTTGCACTTCCATTCTTTGAGTAAACGAAAAGACTGTTACATCTCCAATGGCCAATCACACCTTCTCTTACATTGATCGAGCATACAAGGAGTCTTTGGAAGATGATTGCAGGCCTTAAAAGAACCTCAATGCATTTATTGGCTACACCTATCCGCCTCCATTTATACAAGTCATGGAAGTTTTTGCAAATTACCAACCTTTAGACCAAGAATCTATTAACTACGAACCTTTGGGGCAAGCATTTGCAGAAATCGATCTTGGAAGCTTCTCTTCTGCCTTACCACTGTCCGCATGTGACAAAGCCGCTTCTTCTTCCTCTCAGTCCACTGGCTTGGAAAGTTGGTCAAGACCTGATAAACCCCAACTAAGGAATCAGATTCATCATTGATTTGTTGAATTCGATGAACCCCTTTCTATTTCTCCTTCTACTCAGAGCTCAATGGTCTACCCTTATGTACCTATTGATCACCAACGCAGTTTGGAGGACAACTTGCTTGTGGCGTGGTACACGTCTTCTATGCCAGCGAAGATAGTGCGAGAGACTCCTCATCTAGACGAAGCACAGGGATACAATCCGTCATTCTTGGCTAAGAAGACAAAACTTTGCTCTTCTGACTGGCTCAAATGCGTGAATAATCCCCAGTTCCCCTCTTCCTTCGAGATGGATCCCTCTACACCTCCTTTCCCTCAGAATCCTCATTGGATGGAGGAATTGAAACTTACTCAGTTCCAGAATCAATTTTTTGCTTCCTATTAACCTCCAGCTCTTCCAACTGCATTTGAGCGATACCAAGCTCAACTTATGCTTGCTATCTTCTCTCACTTGCCTTTCAATGTTCTTGGAGATGAGATGCCTCTCAAAAACTTCCAATGGGCTTGTGATGTTATGACTCGGGGTCGTGTTCTCAACCCTATTGCCCAGGCAGAGCTTCAACCTTTTTTGGATCAACTTCCACTCTTTCTTTATTGGTACAATATTTCTTTGGCTACCAGTGACTCTTTAGACGAAATCACAACCAATTGAATTCAGACTCAGTACGAAGCAAAGAACCTTATTGAAGAATATGATGACTTAAAGAATAAGGATTCAGCGTACTGGGATGTTTTAAATATGGACGAAATGGAACAAGGCTTAAAAGAGATAGAGTTCGAGGTGAAGGCTGAATAGCTTTTTCACCAAATAAGAGCATACTAGCTGCAACAACCTAGCTTTGATAGGATAGAAAATAGAATAAAGAAAGAACATAAGTTCATTGAACACTGCTGGGTTAAATTTAATGAACTTGTTACTCTTTCTATTCCCTATTATTATGAAATCGAATTCGTAGCCAAGTAGGCTTTTCTAATGTAATTACTTACATATCAATAAAACTAGGGTTTTCTTTCTCTATTTGGCACGATCTGGTTTTATGTTCCAATTGCATGCGTGTGACCGTTTTATTCACATAATTCAAATAAAATTATAGTTTCGAATTAACCAATTTTTGCTTTGAAGCCTGATTTGAACATCTCTAAAGAATGGAATGCTTGAAGCCTGATTTGAATATCCCCAAAGTATAGAATACAATTGACAATCTTTGCCTTAGGTCATCTCATTCCAATCGCATGGTCAACATAATTTAACAGCTTTGAATTAACCAGCCTTTGTATCAAAGTTACTTTTAAGCACTTTGACGTACTTTTAAAAGTAACAATGCTGCTTTCCAAAAAAAGGTTTATTTTGACAGAAAATCTCAAAAGGAATTTTTCATGTTCAGGCA